CGTGGATTAATTCGATTGTCATCGATTTATTCATACGAAGAATCGAGAGTTTTGAGTTTTTTGCGATATACGCGCGCGTGCCAGAGCGCGATACGTATCCTAGAATATACCTACCTGCGCTTCACCTCCCCCTCGACGTTTCGATTGGCATATTATACGATATTTCGTTATTTTTCTAAGCGGTGACAACTTGTAGCCAGAGGGCCCAAATAGTCTGCTCGCATCGTTTTTTTTTTTTTTACATCGATAAACCCCACTGCGCGACAGTCGATTCGATTTTTCCTTCGGCGCGCGCCAAATCGTTGGAAATATGTCAACGTATAATGAATGCGCGAACGAGAGATAAGAGCCGAGAGGGGGGGAAAAACAGAGGAAGAGAAGCGGTTCCAAACTAGAGGCAGAAAAATAACACGATGTTGCAGTTGGTTACCAAGACAAAGATGATGTTCTCCTCGCTTTTCTCTTCCCGCTGCTGCTGCCTTCTCTTCAACTGCCAAACGAAAACGTAATACGCAAAGTCGGCCGTGCACAGACTCGACTCGGTTATCATGGTGCGCCGCCGCCGCCGCCACGTCGCGAGAGAAGAGAGATGAATCACAAAAGTTTTTCAATACGAGAAACGCTGCGCGCCGCGCTCACTACTACTACTACTACTACTACTACTCCTGTCTGTCTCTCACAAGCGCATAGCATGGATAATAAAAGGGCTAAAACGCCGGGTCTCAGATAGTTGTGCTTCGTAGTCAACGACAGATAGAGGAGAAAGAGAGAGAAAATTCGTATACGAATTTGCAAAATTATATTGTGCGCCGAGTAGTGCTTTTTGTATATATGTCTCGACGGGATGTATATATACATAACATAATATCTCTCTTTTTCGCTCGACTCTCGAATCTCCGAGCAACTACCTCTTATTCAAGAGCCAGTACGAACAACGAGATCCTTTGCTTGTTGCATTTTTACTCGAACGTGCATCTTAATCGTATCTTAAAATATTTTTTTTCTCTAATCGTTACGCGCCCACATTTTTCGTGTACACAAATTCATGTTCGCACAACTTTTCCCATTTTCTACTCGCGGTGCAGCGAGCCGAAAAGTGAGAGCAAAATATAGCAAGTAGCAGAGCAGCGCTTAACACGTGTCCAACTAGAGGGCAAGTCAATAGTTATTATGATATGCTCGGCGTACTTTATAATTGCAATCTGATTTCTAACTGATCATTATATTTTTTATTTATTTATTTTCTCAGTAAAACGTCGAATGATCGCCAACACTAATCTGCTTTCCATGTATCTAATTTATACAATCAGCTCGAAATAAAATCGAAAAGTAAATTTACTTCTAAAATGAAATGACGAAATTTTGTAAATTTCTAGCTCTCTAGGATTTTTTTCTACAATTTAATACGTTCATACTGATAAGATATATTATCATGATGAACGAAAATATATAGATGCGAGTCTCAGCAGCATCTTTTATGAAAAAAACAATCAACAAATACATAAAGGTTATCGTGATCTATCACGCATAACCTTCATTTTTGGCATCTTCAAAATTCAATCGAATAAAAGAAATATTTTCGGCTCAAAATTCTGAACTTTAACTAAGAAAAAACGACAAATAAAAATAGTAAAACAGAAAAGAAAAAAAAAATCAGTAAAATCCCACATCATGAAACCCATCTCCGGCGACACGGTGCTCTCGATAATCCACGGTCCGGCGACGACGGGCCACTTCGTCGAGATGTCGAAATTCCTGAACCAAGAGATCGACGTCTTGGCCAGGAACCGAGTCTTGATGATCGGCGGCAGTTCGAGCTCTCGGCAGCCGCATCGCCGCCGATTGAACGTCGGGCACAGGTCGACGACGGCTGGTCGAGCTGCAGGCGGCCACTTCACGCTGAGAGGCGGCCTCGAGCCTCGCAATCCCGACGCCGGCTGCCATCCCGACAATTGCGGCTTCGACGTCGTCTCGGACCAGACGGGCTATCCGGCCTCGTTGCTCAGGCGCATCGTCGGCCAGCGGATGCTCGTCCGGCTGTACCAGAGTCGGCTGCGAGGACGCGACTATCGCTTCCAATGCTCTCGATGTATGCGTGCATTCATTATGCGAGTCTCAAGCTCGACGATCAACTCTTGTAATCTTTGATTTTTATCCTGCTCAGGTGGCATATCCGGGGGCGAGGTTTATACTTTGGATTCAGCGAAATGGTTTTTGAGCGAGTCTCGAAGAATTGGTCCTACTTGTCACTGGCATCTTCATATACTCCAACCTGAAATTCTTTGTGAATGTGTCACGTTTGCGGATCAGTGGAATAATGGTAGCCTTCATAATTGCTGTTTGTGGGGTTACGCGTGGAATGGCTTCCTGTCTAATACAAATGAAAGAGTAGAAAAATATAGATGTTTCACATCAAAATCAGGATTCATGACATATAAAGAATTGGCGATGGTTTTCATGAGTATGATGAATTCTCATAAAGGACAATTTATGGAGGCATTATATGCGGAGTCAAATTATAGGTCCATGAACACATTCTATGAAGTGATGACCCCGTTGCAAATATTGTGTGTTAAAATTACGCCGGGAGCTCCAAATCCTAAAACTATGTTTCCTATTAGTTGGGTAGCAGTAACGTTAGATGTCGTATTAAATCGAAATGGAAGTCAAGGTAGAAAGTATGTTGTTACGATTTATCCGGTTATTGAGGGGGAGCCAACTCGTGATACTCAAAACAGGAGAGTATATAATCCAGTGTACCATCGGTAAACCCGAGAAATTACAAGAGATCCCTGCATATACATTTATAAAGAAAAAATTAGCAGCGACGCCGACGAGACTCAAAGAGAAAAAAAAGTTTCTCAACATTGTAAGCTGGTCGTGTGTGCGTGTCAACGCACTCTTGTAAATAAATCCTTTCGATTTCCAACTTGATTTTTTCTTTTTTTTCCCGACGCGTTGACAAATAAATGAGCTTTATTTATAACACAGTGAACTGAGTACGAAATTGTGTGCTTGGACAAGGAAAAAGAGTGGTATTTCCTATTCGATGGAAATTAAAATTTGATCTTGGATCAAGTGCAGATCTAGATCACGCAATGCGGGGGCGTCTTTGAGACCTTTAAGCCATCTTTCGTGATGGGGATCTGTTGGATACGAAGCGGCAGCATGTATCGCGGTGGTTCTCACTCGCAGAAAATGACGCGTTGATCATTTTTAACATTAAAATTAAAATGTCTACGGTGTTTACAATTTCTGCTGTTTCACAAATGCACTTTTTATTTTGTTCTTCCCGCTTGTTTCAAATGATAATAGTGTTTTAAATGTATACGTAAGTATGAAAAATAATCTCGTTCCAAAATAACTGCTCTGTAACTTGAATTTCTCAGATGTACCAATAATATGATGTGATTTCATTTACGCATTGAATGACACTGAGTTACTTTTGTCAAGCTCGTACATGACAAAATCGACTTATTTTCTGACTTTCACGAAAAAAAAAAATTTATATATCAGCGTTAAATTTTGCCACGCAACAAATAAGTTTTTACTTCCTCGCGAATTAAAGGGTGCCCCACAAACTCGAGAGAAGTTACCAGCTATGTATATACTGAAAATGATAAATATAACTACCTGCGTTTAGGACGAGTGTGTATTGTATAGAAGATATAACATATATCTCCGGGAAAATTTCACCTACAACATAAAGCTAAAAGATAATGATGCTTTAATCATCCCTGCAAGGCAATGCAGCAGCATAACAACATAGAGTCCTAGTGTAGTGCACAGGTGCATTGTACTCGTGTACAGGCGATGATAAGTAGCACACATATAAGTACGCGAGCGCACGACATTCTGATGAAAATATCGCCACGTAAATCTGTTCATCGCATTCTTGCCAGCTTGTTTGTTATCAACAACGAGCGAATATATACTCTGTGTGTATCTTTCCACGTGCACCTGTTACTTATGCGGAAAATCCGGTGGGGAAAGGGGCTCGGCGGTTTGAACAATATAAGGTCTTTGTGTGTGTGTGTGTGTGTGTGTGTGTGTAGTATGTACTCGGCTCTCTCTCTTTCTCTCTCAGCTTTGCATGTTTTCTAAAGTGCCTCAAAGCAAACAAAAGTAAATTTTTGCAAATGCGCTCGCTCGCTCGCTCGCTCAACTCGTTTGAATGCGCGCCGAAAGACATACACACACACACGACGCACGAGGTTTTAGACGGAAATATTCCTGCTGCTGCTGCTGCCGCCACCGCCGCGCGTATTATGAGAAGCCCAAGAGTTCTTCGTTCGCGTTTTCTCTTTGTGCGCGCGGAAAATCGCTCATTCATAAAATTAGAGTCGCAGGTGGGGGGAAGGGTATTAAAGATCGAACGACCGAGCGCCGAAATTAGAGTTGAAATTCGAAGAATCGAGTACGCTATACTTTATTTTCAAGTGTGGGATGGGAAAAGTTCCCCCTTCGCGACGGAACGAGTATTCGGCTTGACAATCGCTCGCTTGGTCTTGGATTGCAGAAATGACCGTTCATGCAAAAAATTTTAATGTAACAAGTGAGCATTTTTTTTTTCGTTTGAATGGACAAATTTTTGTACACGAGAGTCTCATGACGACAATGAGAATTTTGAAATGCAATCCCTTCGTTAAATTATTGACACTACTGTCGCAAATATTTTTCTACCACCTGCAATACCAATGACTAATTGAACTTCATTGACTGAACTTGTATGTATTCAGAGACACATTTCTCTTTAGTGTGAATGTTTATTCGCATATTTCGCACTTTAGTTTAAGCCAATTGCGCGCCTATGATGAATCAAATTTTGATTACTATTTCACTGTAGCTTTAATGATATGCAAGTGCCTCTATGTGTATCGTAGTACATAACTGCGTACGGCAGTCGATGGTGGTGGGGGAATATATCGTCAAGGAGCTATCACAATCGCGGGGTAGACTCGCTAATACTTTGACTTGGAGCGTTCAGTCACTACCAAACAGTCAAATTCCACGGTAAGCAAGTGTTTACAAATAATATCTGTAGTAGTGAACAGTTACGTACTCATAATCGACTAACAGAGTTGCCCATTCGAAGGATTTAACCTCAAATATTTTCTCGCAGTGATTGTGCGTATAATTAAGTGAATCAGGATGGAAAGCAGAGAGGCCACAGTGAGGTAAATCTTTTTTTGTACATTCAATAATATTTTTTGAAACAATCACTTCATCAAACTCGATAATCCTTCAGGGTGAAGTTAGAGCCGAAGGATACATTACCAGATACAGGCGAAGATTATAATTTTGATTCGGTGGACTCTTGCGAAGTCGAAAACTTTGAAAAATTCACGTTTAATAAAACACCAGTAAGTTCAATGATTAGTTTCGTGTTCTACTTTTTCACTTTCAATAATTATTAAATGATTTCAATTTTAGATTAGTCACGAGAATGAAGCTATTGCGTTAGCGGAAAAGTTAGATGAAACAATTTTCATCGACTTTGAGTGCAAAAATGTTAAAACTGAACTGACGTATCTAGCGACAACGATCTGCAAATATGAGCATCAAAATTTTCAACCTATTGTGAAAGCAGAAGACCAAATTCAATCTAATTACTTGAATGAAAATACATTCATTGATTTTGAATGCAAACATGTTAAGCTTGAACTGCCATTCTTATCGACAAACATCTCCAAATCTGAGTATTCAATTGGTCTACCTATTACAAAAGTAGAAAGTCACATTCAGACTAATTATTTAAACGATAAAGATCAGGTGGCTTCGATAAACAAGGAATTAGATTATGATAATAGTGAATTTCAAGTTCATTCCCACTTGAAGCTTGGAAATTATATGAATGTAAATATATCTGAAACTAAGTTACCTCATCAAAGAGAAGTGAACCTAAAGAAACATATCAATACGACGCACAAGAGCATCAGAAAATATGAATGTGATATTTGTCATAAATCATTTTCACTTAAAGGTAATCTAAATAAACACATACGTTTAGTCCATGGTCAGAGCAAACCTTTTGAATGTGACATTTGTCACAAGTCATTTGGAGAAAAAAGTACCCTCAAAAGTCACATAAATGCAATACATGACCAGATCAAACCCTTCGAATGTGAGATTTGTCACAAATCATTTGTACGAAAAGATCATCTCAAAACACATTTAAATTCAATACACGATAATAAGAAACCCTTTGAATGTGAGATTTGTTACAAATCATTTGGATACAAGAGTCGCCTCAAATATCACACAAATACAGTACATGGCCGGAACAAACCATTTGAATGTGACATTTGTCACAAGTCATTTGGAAAAAAAAGTACCCTCAAAAGTCACATAAATGCAATACATGACCAGATCAAACCCTTCGAATGTGAGATTTGTCACAAGTCATTTGGATACAAGAATCACCTTAAGAGGCATATATTTGCGGTACACGATCGCAGAAAGCTCTTCGAATGTGATATTTGCCACAAGTCATATTGCCGCAAGGATGTTCTCAAAAAACACAAAAATAAAATACATAATAGCCAAGTGTGAGATTTGCCCAAGGATCTTTGCACGAAATAAAGACTTCCGCACTCATATAAGTACGCTATGTAATTGTAATAAACTTTTTTCATAAACTATCTTCAATTTCGTGAAAAATATTTAAGTATTTAAAACTGTTATAATAATTTTTCGTGATTTTAAAAACCCTTCTACTCACCTCTATTACATCAATTAAAATATTAATCATAATTCTATGTGCATATATCCTGTTGGTAAGATTTGAAGATCCAAACAACTTTAACTTGTAAAGTAAGACTTAAACTTTCGATTTCTGGACGAATTAGACGAATACATTTCAAGAGTATTGAAAAATGATTAGGATGCAATTAAGGTATGTTTAAAAGTAAAAATCGCGTACATTCTCCATCAGCTCAAACATTGGCAGACAATCGTCAATCGAGCCGTTAGACAATTGACGATGTTCAAGTTCAAAAAGGCCAAAAGAATTTCCATTCCGAATTTCAGATCTTCTTCACCGAGCCAAAGAAAAAAGCAGGAGAATCTCGTTTGAAGTGCAGCCGAGGCTTTAAGGCGCACTTGCTCTCTCGCGCGCGCGTTTAAGCAGTAGCAGCGCGGAGGCAGCAGCAGTAGCCGCTATAGCCTTTAGGCCAACACACACACACACACACACACACACACACACACACAAAGAATAAAGCTGACGAGGAGCGCCATCGCTGTCGCAAGTTTAAAAGCTACTACTACTACTAGCCACCACAGCTTCTCTACCGTGCCGAGCGCGCGAGAAAATAAATTCGTGTCAAGCGCGCGCGAGCTTAAGCTGCTGCATTCATATTTTAAACGTCCATATGCAGCGCGGAATATTTCTCTCTACCTGTGTACGGGCATAAAGAGCGACAGAAGGAGAGAGAGAAAAAAAGTCTTAAAGAGGATAAAGCGCGAGTGGTCAACGAATGAAGAAAGTCTCACGCTGACGGATGATGAAAAAAAAAAAAGAGAGGAGAAAAAAAAGAAGCGAGCGAGAGAGCAAACATTTCTAATTTTAATGTTTTCGTTTTGCCGGAGCTCAAGAAGACGACGACGACGACGCACTGGCACTTGCACTGGCAGCTTGACTGACCTCATCTTGCTTTCTTGTTATCATAATATGCATATGTGAAGCAACCGTATGTAGGCCAGTTCGCGATGTCATTTCAACAGCGCGTGTGTGTGCCTGGCCTGCATCGCGCAGCAGCTCACGTGTTTACGTACGTTTTTTTTTTTCATCGCAAATATAAAACACAAGTTGAAAATTAATACCTCACGGTGGATGCGAACGCGGTAGCAGCACGCTTGTGCGTCAGTTTTTTTTTTTTTTTTTTTTTCATCGAGAGAATAAAAAGTTCAACCTGTGGCGTTCATCATCGAGCGCTGGCGATATACGATGCGGGTGTGCGCATAGAGCCACGACGACGACGACGTTGCCGAAGGCGTCTTGTACAAAATCGAGACTTTAAAAATTACCCTAGGCGCTGCTGCTGCGCGAGTTTTTGCGAAAGTTTGCGAAAGAAAAATTGTTCATTTTTTATGAATCGGTTCTTAGAAATAATTACTATAATTTTTCCAGTTAAGAAAAAAAACGCGTATCCTTAAACGCAGGCGAAAGAGAAAACTATGGCTTTTACTTCTTCCAAATAATTCAGAATTTTTTTTATCTCTCTCTCTCTCTCTCTTCCTTTCGGAGATAAGTACTTATCCCACTTTAACAAAATATCCATCTTAAAAGAGAGCATCGGTAGAGAGAGAGAGAACTGCAGCAGTAGAAGAGAGCAGCGTAAAACGAAAAACTCTTAAACGCGAATAAATCATGGCGCGCGCGCGCGCGTATACGTGTATTAACCCATAAGCACGTGCGCGCGAAAAGCTCGAGAGTTGCTCAAGACAACTCTTGCGCTCGCGAAACGACGACAACGACGACGACGACTACGCTAACTCCAAGATTAATGATCAAAGAGAGAGAGGACAACGACTCGAACGACGACGACTGTGTGCGCGACTCGTAAGATTTGGTCATTTGCATAATAAGCCCCTACGCCAACAGTCGAAAGGATATCGCGGGCTGCGCTTACATTATACAATGCCGCTGTCGCTGCCGCTGTTTATTTTTTTTTCTTAATCGCCCGACGATAATTACAGTCACGAGCGCGTTTCGACGCCATTCACTCACTCACGCACCCAAACGTAAATCGTACACGTATAATGTGGGCTGTATCATGCAAAACACATTACGCGCGATCGCCTCGCAATGCGCATTTGTACACATTTCGAGAGAGAGAGACAGAGAAAATCGCTGACACATGCCTGCGTGTCGCGAGCGAGGAAAAAGCTTTCGGGTGCGTTGCGCCTCGTGTTTTTGCGTCTCTCTCGTTGTTGATGGTATAATGCATCGAGCCGCGTGACGAATTAATTCGTTATTTATACGTAGCGATTATTTGAAAATATATCCCTCTTTTATATATTGTACATACGAGTGACGTTGCCGCCGCAGACACAGATCTTGATTAAGCATCAGCTTGGATGAAAAAAAAAAGAAAAAAAAATTACGCGGTAAATACGGTTCGAACGATTTTGATGTATTTTCTGTACTGTGTGTATACGACGTTCGACGCAAAGCCGGAGCTGTCGCATTGTAAGGTTTTGCGGATGAAGCAGAAGCAGTGGCTGCCACTGTCGCGCAAGAACAAAATACATCTCGAGAGAAAATTGACGCGCCGCGACGACGATCGCCCGCGGGGGATATATCCCTGCACAGCAACAGCAGCAGCAGCGGGAAAAGAAAAGCGACGCGCAGAGGCCAATAATTAGATACCCCACCACCAGAGAGATCCTAAGTTTCATTAAAAATGCTACCCTGTCATCGGTTATCCTACACATCCGTATATATATAGAGAGAATCTAAACGACGAGTGAGAAGAAAAACCTCGTGAAAATGAACCGCAATCAAACACGTGTTCTTTCAGGCGCACACCCGAGACCTTTATCCTTTTCTCCCTCCCTCTCTCTTTTTTTTCTCGCTCCCAGCCCTATATATCTCTCACTCCCTTTTACGAGTGTGGAGCTTAGGCTCCCTAGTCCATCCCAAAGGAGTGCAGAATCGCAGCAACAGCAACTACGGCAGCAGCAGCAGTTGGCGTGACAAATGTCACGGTGCTTTATTTAATTAGCTATTATTCCTCGCAGGCACCGGCTACAATTATTTTTGTCTTGTCTCTCATGCGTGTGTGCGTGTGTGCTTTTTCATCAATTTTTTCTCCCCACATTGTGTCGAGCTTTTTTCCACTACCGCTGTCTTTCCACTCGTGATTCGCCATAGGATAATTGCACGCCCCGAATTTTTCTGATACGTAATACGATTTTCGTTGATCCTCTGCATTGCTATATTGATTGGATTTATATATTGATGATTGGGAAGTAGTGAGACGTGTCGCCGTAGGTGGCACAAAGCAGAAACGTAATTCACGCAGATGAAATTGTAAAGTGTAAAAGTTAAATCGTTATATAATTTAAAATTTTAATATCCGTTATCAATAATGAAGACTCGATTCTAACACACAAAATAAAAGCTCCAATACCGATTTCAATGTACAATGGGACTTAATAGCTCGAATACATCAATATATATACAGCTCGAGGCATTAGAATGTCTTCGTTCGACGGCTTTACGCGTATTATTATACGAATTAGACGCGAGCGGCTGCCGTGTAATAAGAGAATAATTGAAACGTTTACAGCCCACGCGTATACACGTGCACAGCTTACCTTGCTCACACACACACACACACAAACGCACGCACTAACGGACACTTACTGCAAGCGAATATTCAAAGATCATGGCTGGGGCTCTCTAATTAGCTCGTCTGCCCGCGCACACGTATGTGTCCGTACAGTTGTAACGTGTGATGTTCTCCTGTACAGCATTACACACACAGACACACAAGCTCAGCCGCAGAGATCGGGCCGATGTTCGAGCACGTTGCGCAACATCCGCACGCGCGAGGATCATTCGTTCGACCTTTTGCCTCGTCGCGTGCATAATTTTGCCGAAGATAGCCCGCGCCGTTTTCATGTAATACGTGTCGCGCGTATTACACATCCACCCACATACACGTATAATGCAATAATTTACCGCGCGCTTGTGTGTATAGCCGCAGAAAGAGAGACTTTTGTGCGGAGCTTTACGGTGAATACAAATTTGTAACATTAGGTTATACACATAATACGCGGGTATTTAAGCGCCGCGACGTACATAATATAATAACGAGTGCATTATCTCTCTCCACACACATACAGAACACACACGGATTGGATGCTATCCTCAATTAATCACGACTTTTAATACGCCAGCTATTAGTAGATTTTACACGAGCGAAGCTTGAGTCAAAGCCGCATGGTACTGCTACGTATGATATTGTAGACTGTATTTTTTGCCGATTGGAACGTGAAATCCATTACCGTGATTTACTCGGATAGATGGGAGAATTATCGATGTGGATGTAAAAAATATATGCATTTGATCACGTATATTTTTTTAATTCAAGAGAGAGAGAGAGAGAACGAAAAGAGAGTACGACGATCGCCTATGCAGATGTGCGTGTGCTACACGGCACACATGCCAATGCCTACGCGTATATATCTAGGCATTTCCGCCTCGAAAGCCAGACAGAACTGCACAAGTTGGCCCATTGTGTGTTTCGAATCACGCCTGCGCGCTTTTACGCGCGCGCACACACAACATAGAGTCATAAACTAATAAATCTCCTCTCGGAATACAACGCTTCACTGGGCGCTACTATATACGGCGCGGCTGTGTGTATACGTCGATCAGCGTCGCGAGCACTGGAGTAAGAGAGAGAGAGAAAGAGAGCTGTCATTGATAAAGGAGTCGAAGATTCGAGAATTTCGGTGCCGATAAAGCTTATACAGCTGTATCAAAGTTGTACCGATGAGGCCAAGAACGAATCATTATTATCGAAGAAAAGAGCTGAAAAATTTTCCGAGATTTATATCGATGCCAATTGGCGCAAATACAGACGTTACACGGAGAAAATTGTTTCGTCATTTTTCGTCGAATTTTAACGAGTTTTTCGACGATCGCT